ATCCGACCCGTACTTCACCAACAATCCAAAAGGGATTAGGTGCATTGATTTGTTTTCTAACTGAAAGCTAACCTTAGTACCGATAAAGCTTCATAATTCATTTTACAGCACCAATGGGAATACATAAGTCTCATTTTACACCTCAAAGATTATTCATTCATCTTTATGTCTGTATGTTGTTCATGTCATCAGTGTTGACAATTATGGAATAGAACATGAGGTTACGCTTAGGTTAATTAGATATCGGGTTTAATGTATTCAGTCATGTCAACTTTAATTGTATTTGAACATGTGTTTCCTGAGTAATAGGCTTCCTCTGCCCTGTTTGTCACCGTGAGAGTTATTACATTAACAAAGTACAAGTATATGCACAACTTGACAACTTTATTGAAGAAGAGTGAGGAAACAAGTGTGATTTGAAACAAGATTAAAGAGAATATTTCACTTATCTAGAATTAGACTGCATTTTATTTCTTAACACATAAAAGGAATTTGCTTTGGTGATGTGGTCCCTTCATTAATGCAAAATAAAAGGTAAATGTGAGCCAGTTTTCTAAAATAAAAAATGTCTCTGCTTGTGTCTCGGTACTGGCTGGATTTTGTGTATTCATGACCAGATCAAACTGCTCCAGAGGGCCTAGGATTGTGGGCCCCTAGTGACCCCTAATGGCTCCCATTCTCTGTCTATTGAGTAATTGAAGGCAACATAATTATTAAACACATTTCAACCAATCAATGTGGCAACTTAATTCTGAAACATGGAAACGGTGCTCCTGCCAATCTGGGCAACACTGGTACAGGTTTGCTGGATGTCAGTTAATGTGTGGTGGGCTTTGATAAGAAAATGCACTATTAACCATTAGAAAACCACCTTTTATTACGCTTATATTTAAGCAGCTTTGTTGCTTTACAGTAGAAAAACTATTGATGCAGTTGAAATCTCAAGAGAACTCTAAAACCATGAGTTAAATCGTGTTTGGTCTCTACTTTGACAACAGTTACAGATTACAGATGTGTTTATACAGGTTTCTGTGCATGAAAATGGTCTAAAAGTCCCCTCCAGAAGGACTTCCTCTCCAAAGCACTGTGTTCTCAAAGTGCCCCTTCAAGTGTTATATGCACTCACCCTTACATCTAAATGGGAATAATTGCCGGTAAACAGTCCGTGAACAGCATAAATCTCATTTTAGAAATACTTAGCCTGGCTTTGAAACTAAATGAGCAGCTCATCTAAATGTTTTTGACTTTTCTATCCAGGGAAGCATAACACAGGAGGCTGTTTAAGATGAAAAGAGTCCTCTCGCAGCAAGAAACACTACAACTGTTGCATGCATAGAGACTTAAATCAAGTAAATGCAGAAGAAAAACAAGCATTTAAAACTAAAAAGGGGTAGATTGAATGAGTTTGTTGGATCATGTTGTTAAGTGTTGTGTACTTCTCTTTCACATGATTACACCTGATTGTGTAATGCATTTGCTGACGAGGACCAGTCACTGCTGCTCTTTGGTTGTACATCATGCAAATCAGATAATCATTTTATTTGTTGAAGAGTAAGCCCCTTCCTGATTGTTTGAAGGGAAACTCTTTGGAATACGACGATGAATCTCAATTCCATAACATCCTCGAGCCAACTCTACAATGTTTCTACTGCCAGATATTCCGAAAACCTCCTTCTTGTTTTAGATGTAACACTGATCTTACAATGTGTCACTCGTCTCAATGCTGGATTTAAATGCCGTGTTTGAAACAGCAGGTCATCACATTTTTAATGCAGGGCTTTTAAGAGAGTGCCGCTTTCTCAGGACAGGGGTTGGATTGGTTTAAATCTTTAAGGCATTTTTAGTCTGGAGACTGAGTGTCTTACTCACGCTATTAATAACACATGAGTGATGCCAACAGGTCTGGCTCCTTTCCTTATATGTACTTCCAACAATGAAACAATGTTCCTTTTAGAGCAGTGTGTGATCTGTAAGGAACTGATTGGTTGTGGGACTGTCTTCAGGTTGGGTTAAGACATATAAATAACCACTTGTTTATAAACCATCATGGTTATCTCACTTTTTTCCACCAACTCCGGCCCTTAGGACTTCCTTCAGTGGATTGACGTCTACCTGAGAAGAAAGTAAAGTCACCCTCCCTCTGAGTGTGTGTTAGTGCATGTGAGTCCTCCATGTGTGTGCCCCGCTGGCTGGCTAATGGAAAAGAGCCACTCTCTGGTTCCCCCTCAGATAAACACTGAGTAAATAACCTCTGGATTCATCAAGATAAAGGTGGATGGTCACGAGCCGCCAGACAAAGCGGAGCCGCTTGAATTTTTGCTCCACGAGGCATAAAGTCAGCCAGCAGCAGTGAGACTGGTGGAGAGGAATCCAATATGTATCAAAGTTAAATGCTGCAATAATATTTAAAGAAAGTACATGTAGGCACAACATATATAATATATTTATACACATACACATGTTTAACTGTGTGGAAAATATTAATTTGAAGCATTACGTCAACGAGTAGCCTACAATTTTAACATTTTTCTAGTTTGTTTGTAAATTAGATGTGGCCTCTCCATTATTTTCCACTGCCAAGAAGCCTGTATAGTGGCTGCAGGCTCTTTATGGAAATCGTGTCATTAAAAGGTCTGAAAATCTGCCAGATTTTTCCCGTCATCACACAAAGATATATCAGGATAATGAATGCTAAATCTGCTATCTGTTCAGTTTTAAAACATCAAATAAACATTTTCAAAGGAATTGTGCTACCTTTGTATAATTGGAATACACAGTTTATTATTTCACAAAATGGCTCTAAACGAGGTTTATTTTTCTTATATTTTTTTATGAATATCTTTGTCTGCTTTGTGACTGTCTGCCTAGCCGGAGAACCTGCCTTTTAGACCAACCTCACGGCTCCTTGGACTCTGGAGAGATTGAAGTTGCAACATTAAAACGCAGGATTAAAAACAATTTCAATATTTCTCATGGAATATCTCCTAAAGGATCCGATCAGATTTTGTGTTTGAGGTGTGGGACCTTTCTTTTATTTGCATTTTGTCTATTAAGACTGACCGCTGAACCATTTACCCTTAAGCCTGTCCATCCAGAATAATGGCGTTCCTGCTGGCTGATGATCAACTAATGGATGTTAGGATTCCTAATATTTGCATGCAACAGTGGTGGGCTGCAAATAATGATGTAGAGATCTGAGCGCCCTTTACAGACCTGTCACTAAGTGACTCCCCCCCCCCATATGAAGTCAAATGATTTTCCAGCTTTATCTGTAGTCATGCAGTGAGGGAAAAGCCATAATCACAAGCCTGTGCTCATCTGAATACTAATATGAAGCAAATGCATCCCACTGTCTCAGAGTTACATTAAAAAGTCAAGTATAAAATCTCACAGCCATCTGCATTTTATTTAATCAACTATCTGTTCTCCTACCTCTGAGGCTCCTGTAAAGCAATGCCAAGAAGGTGTGTGTGTGTGTGTGTGTGTGTGTGTGTGTGTGTGTGTGTGTGTGTGTGTGTGTGTGTGTGTGTGTGTGTGTGTGTGTGTGTGTGTGTGTGTGTGTGTGTGATATAACTTTCTCTGCAGCTAAAGCTAAAATACAGTATATTTAATGTTTCAGCTGAATTTTAAATGAAATGTATCTCAAAGAAGACGAAGAATATATGCTGTTATGGTTGCTACAATGGATAATTTCACTTTTTAAAAGTACAGGCGCCAGTACAAACAGCATTGTTATTTTCCTGACCTTGGAATGAATTGTGTGCATCCATCTGGTTCATGCTCAGGGCAATGTGCATGGTGCAAAGTAGGAGAGGTGTAATCATAGAATGGGTTAAAAATGACGCAGGATTATATCATGTGACATCATCTACTACACTAACATTGGCCTCACTGAAAACTAAAAATGCGGACCCAGCGGCGTTGCACGAGTCAGATTGCAAAACTTTGGTCTTGGAGTTTGGTATTCGGTCATCAGTCAAAGTAACATGATGCCCCATGGTGCTCAGAATTTATTTTAGAGTTGTGTTGCTTGTTTTAACATCCCTAAGCATTACCCCTTCTTCCATTTTCTTCCTCCTAACACCCCTTTTGTACTCTCAGATCCGCACACCAGCTGTTCCTATTGGTCCCCGGGGCCAGGTTTGAGGCTGAGGGTAGTAGGAAGTAGTCATAAGGGCGCAACAATTTTTAAACAACCTTCCATTGGGGGATCAGACAAGCTACATCTGTGTCCTCTCTTAAAAAGTATTAATAGAAGGGCTTGTAATTAGCTATTTTTTTCACACCTTGAGTGAACAGCATCACAAGCGGTTATTTAAAGCAGACTGTTGTTTAAAGGTGCTAATCCATCAGCAGACAGGTGTTGGCTGCACCCTGGGGCTCCATCTGCAAAGCCTTGGAAAACAAAGGCATCCCGCTTTTCCAAGGCCCGTCTGGAGCCTGTTTATCCCATGTTGATTTCATAAACAACCCACTTGAGCTTTAGTAATGGCTGCCATCAATAACTAGTGTTTCTCTGTCAGTGTGAAAGTCCCCACGCACACAACATGACTCCACTGCTGCATTCGTTACAGCCTGCAATATGAAGGAGGAGAAAATGCATGAATCACATCCAGGAGATCTAATGTATTCCATCTTTATTGCTGTAGTTATGTGTCTTCAGACAAGAGAAATGCACACTAAGTACTCAATAGCTGAATTATTAGATATGAATATGAAACCAGTTTCCCCATCTCAGTGCAGAATCACACTGATTTGTGAAGTAAACTGTCTTTTACATTACCCTTAAAAAGAGCTGACATGAGAAGCATTTTTAAAGGATATTTATGGATTTTAACTTGCAATGGATAGCCCAACTTAGGTATGCACAATTCGGTCTGAAAACCAACCAAATATGATAAGACTGGGCCACGGCCATAGACTGTATAGGCCACGGCCCACGACGTTGTTCAGAGACGCTTCTTAGGTAAGGTCAGCTGACTGATCGAATGACGCATGCGCAACAGCTATCAGGAACTTCACCAGCCGACGAGATGTGGACTAGAGTAAATAAACAGCGATAACTGGAGTTTCCTGTGACTTAAAAGGTTAGTAAGAGGCTGACCGCACGCACAAACTAAGTAGCAAAGAAACTAATAGGCTAACAAACAAACACAAGGGACTGCTGTGTCCTTTCAGCTAGCAGCTATGCTAATGCCTGTATAGTTGGTACAGTCCGAGCTAATAAACAAACGACCCAGCGGTATATTCAGGAAAAATAAATGAAATTTTTTTTTTTTAAAGTAGAAATTAATGGAAAAAAGAAACTGTCAATTTGTCCTACTGTTATTGTCAGAGGTAATCAACAACACACTTCCGGTTTACAGGCTCTGATGATGTAAACACTTCATACATGACTAGATTTGTTTCTCTTTGTTTAACCTGGTTTTAGAGGTATTACATATGTGTGTGTTATATATTAAGCTGTATTTGTTTGTGTGCAAGTACATTTTCTTTCATGCCTCACGTTCAGCTTTTTAAAATGTTGGGGTAAAAAATGTACATTTTCTTTGATATCTCATCCAGTCTCTCTGTTGTGCCGACATGAGGTCAACATGGAGGCCTTCACCTCTGCCGCTGCTGATTCTCTTGGTGTCCAGCTGTGTGTCCGTTCAGAGCAGCAAGACCAACTTCGTCCTGATGATGGTGGACGACCTGGGGATTGGAGACCTGGGCTGCTATGGCAACACAACACTGAGGTACGGACATGTTGCTTTCTGGGAATGGATGGCTTAAATAAAGCTTTGGTGCTGTAATCCTACTGGCTGCTTGTTTTAAAGCAGTATACCTGTATTCCACTGCACCACACTACTGTATATCCATTAACCTCCATTGTATTGGAATATTATTCAGATTTCTTCTGAAAATTCTGACTTTATTTTGTGACTTTGTGATTCGCAGGACCCCCAACATTGACCGTTTGGCCGAGGAGGGGGTGAAGCTGACTCAGCACATCGCGGCAGCGAGCCTTTGCGCTCCCAGCAGGGCGGCGTTTCTCACCGGGCGATACCCGATACGATCAGGCCAGTTCAAAGACACCAAAACAAAGGTTCTTTACTGACTGACACTGCTTAATGATGGTCTGCAGGCTGAGTCTACTGTCAGTTAAACAGATCTCTATCCACTTCCTGCAGGAGGCCAATTAAATTTCTAAATTATTAATTAGTGTTTGATACTGTCAGCACATATCAGATCACACATATTTTATGGCTTTTGTTCATAAATATTCATATTTCCTCGCAAACAGGTGTAGCTGGTGATCTCAGACCTGGAGTTTTTATATTTAACGCAGCATCTGGAGGCCTTCCCAGCCAAGAGGTGACGTTTGCCAAGATTGCCAAACAGCAGGGCTACAAGACAGCTCTCATCGGTACATTGATATGAAAGTATAAAGTGCATTTATACACTTGTGGAAACTTGGAACTTTTTTCTCATTTGCTAATTCCTTTCTTTTTAAAATGTCTGTTATTCCCAGGAAAATGGCACCTAGGACTCAACTGTGAGAGCAGTGAAGATCACTGCCACCACCCGAGCAACCACGGCTTTGACTTCTTCTTCGGTATCCCTTTAACCAACCTGCGGGACTGCCAGCCCGGACACGGCACCGTGTTCCGGATCTATAAATATTTACCGTACGAGACAGTGGCCATCGTCCTGCTCACAGCAGCCTTCCTCCACTACAGAGGAGTGATCACCGTCAGCAGAGGGCTGCTCGGGATCCTGCTCTCTCTGTCGGCCGCCGCCACATGTCTGACTGTGGGATTCATCATGATGATCCCATACCTCAACTGTGTTCTCATGAGGGACCACAGGGTTGTGGAGCAGCCGTTCACATCTGAAAACCTGACCCAGAGGATGACTCATGAGGCCGTGGACTTCTTGGAACGGTAAATGTCAAATGTCCTGATCCAGGATCCTTGTCCTCAACACAACCTTCATCTTATTCTAATAGGATTAGGCAATTTACTGTGTTTGACCTGAAATGTAGCTTTGAAGGACATTTTTCTCATGCTGGTAATTAAACTGTATTTTTCTGCAGGAACTCAGCGACACCTTTCCTGCTGTTTTTCTCTTTCATCCAAGTGCACACAGCCATGTTTGCTTCAGCAGCATTCAGGGGAACGAGCCGCCACGGTATCTACGGAGACGCTGTGCACGAAGTGGACTGGAGTGTAGGTAGGTGGGATTTAATCAAAATCGACTTAAGTATAATGAGGTTTTCGACAGAAAACAATGGAGCTCCATGGAACAGAAGAGTAATTATCATTACACACATAATTGGATACTTTAATTCTTGTTTTGGGTATGAGCTTTTTTGACTATCAGAAAAACTGATTATCACAAGATGTATACTTAAATGACCAAAAAGAAGATTATAATGACTTTAAAAAGAATATATCCATGTCAGAAGTAAACTCAGTGATCAAGACATGTCATTTAAATGCACATAATGAACCTGACTGCATAAAATGGCATCAAAATAGATATTGTTTATTCAATTAAACAAGACCTTGACATTGTGTGTTGTATTGTGTGTGTTCTCAGGTCAGATCATGCAGACTCTGGACAGACTGAACCTGAGAGAAAACACTCTGGTTTACCTGACCTCAGACCAGGGGGCTCACCTGGAGGAGATCTCTGATGGAGGAGAAGTGCACAGAGGGTCCAATGGAATATATAAAGGTAAAGCAAACGCACATTTCTTTGGGGTTTTACACTCCATTTTTTGTATTATAGTCGTGTCACTGTGGCGCTACAAATGTGAAACTCCCAGCTTGAGAACATGAGATGTATTCATTTGGAATTCACTCCGTTAAATAATCACGCCATGACTTTGTTGTCTTTGATCCACAACAAGTCAACAAATTAAATATCGTGTTTGATATTTGTGATATCACACATACACATACAGTAGGGTTTAACTCTATTGGAATACCGAAAATCAATGACTGCTGGACAAAGGCTCTCAGTGCAGATTGATGTCATCTTTGTGTTGCTCTCAGCAGATGTGATTGTAACACAGTCTGCTGTCTTTTATCTCTGCAAGTGTCCTGTCTTCAGCTGCGCGATGTTCCTTTACTTAACAAAGCCGAGTTATTCCGAGAGCGAACACGCTGAGTTCCAGCAGCAGGATGAAAACTGCTCTCTGTGTTATTATCTTCCCACTGAGCAGCAGGGAAGTCCACAAACTGGGAGGGAGGAATCCGAGTCCCGGGAATTCTGCGGTGGCCGGGAAACATCCCTGCCGGCAGAGAGGTGGACGAGCCCACCAGCAACATGGACCTGTTCCCCACGGTGGTGAAGCTGAGCGGAGCCTCGGGCCCAGAGGACCGGTGAGCCTGCGCCGACTCAGCAATACTTCCATATATCTGTCATAAACCTTGATCCCATACTACTTCACCACGGCACCAAGCTCCATCTTATAATATTGTTTAAATGTAATGACCCCTAGTGGCAGAAAATGACACATCAGGCCCAAGGTAGATCTGCCCTTGAGATTCACAGTAATGAGTAGTCCCATGTGTGATAGAGACCACTTCCTGTCCTCCTCTGTGCAGGGTGATAGACGGTCATGACCTCATGGATCTCCTTCAGGGGAGGGTAGACCGCTCCAAGCACGAGTTCCTGTTCCATTACTGCAACGCATACCTGAACGCGGTCAGATGGCATCCCCAAAACAGTAAGTCCAATCCAATACATTATCCACAGCATGGTGTATAAAATATGAACTCTTCTACCTAGAAACATTTGTATATATTTTTTCATCAGGTAGCTCCGTGTGGAAAGCCTTTTACTTCACCCCAAACTTCTACCCAGAGAACGGGACAGCCTGCTTCCACACACACGCCTGCTTCTGCACGCCGGGCTTCGTGACCTACCACGATCCTCCGCTGCTCTTCGACCTCTCCAGGGACCAATCAGAGAGCAGGCCGCTCACTCCCAGCACCGAGCCCGCCTTTTACTCCGTCCTGGCTGCGATGGAGGAGGCGGCTGAGAAGCACCGGGGGTCGGTGGAGCCGGTGGAGAGCCAGATGTCGGCGCTGAACCTGATGTGGAAGCCCTGGCTGCAGCCGTGCTGCTCCACACTCTCACAGCTCTGCCAGTGCCAGCAGGACCAATAGGGGAGGACTTCAGGGTTTATACCTGCAAACACTTCCAGGAAATTCACGTCAACTTCAACCTGACTGATTGGAATCAGCAAACTGATGTGGAAAACCCTCCGTAGCTATGATGCTATTGGTTTAAGTAAAGTAAACTTATAATTTCCCCACCCGGCCCTCAGGAAACAAAGGTCTGTTTCTGCAGTGTGGGAGCTTGTTGGGCTTTTGTTTATTAGTTTCACTTTCAGGATGGATCTCCGAGCAGCCCCCTGGCTCAGTAGGAGAGTCTGCTGTGGTAATGTGGTTACTGCGGCAATCACATTTCCCAAATGAGTTTAGACGTGGGCAGAAGCACAACGCGCGATTGTTTGCAAGTTGCATACATGAGAGAATTTCCCTTCCTCTGTGGAAAATGATACTTTATTCATGTTGGTGTTAAAACTATGAATATAACGCTGCTCTTCACTGCATTTCAACATTTCAGAGTGGTAACATATTGCAGGTGTGCGTGGCTGTAATGAACTGGGCTACTTTAGCTGTTCTGTTTTCCATTCTTCAGTGTTTAATTACTGAAGAGGAATTTTCCAACAAGAATAGCTGAAACAAAAAGTATAAAGAACACAAGCCGGGGAATCTTTGCCCCCGGGGGGAATCTGTAATTTAAGGGAAGCTTTAATTGAGCCTCATTATCGGAGCCAGCGGGTGGGCTTACATAACGCAAGAGTGGAAACACTACTGGGTACATCTGTGTGTCAGTGGCTTACTGTACATATGAAGGCTATTTAAGGTGTTGATATTTCTTTTTATATGGTAATTATGTATTTTTACAGTGCCTCACAGCATCAGTTGAGTCAATTAGTGCTGTATATTATTTGAAATGTGCCGATACCAGAGTGTTGATACCCTAACTGGAGTTTCAGTAACATAAAGTATGTTTAAAATGAACTTTTTCTTTTGTGTGAGATGTCTCAACTGGCAACCGGAAGCTTTATCAGCTAAACGTATATTATTTGTATTTTGTGCCTCTACTACTGTGACATGATTTAATGTTCATAAAGTAATTCAATTCAGCAATGATTTGGTATTCCTTACTCTACCTTGTAAGTACAAAAACAAGTCACATGTTCTTTTGAATCGTTGATTTACATTTCTTGATATAGGAAAAGTCAGGTATCTTTGGTTGACATTTACAAGACAATGGCATCCTGTATAAAACTCTATTTTACTCCTCACCATGGGAGAAGTTTCCCACTGCAGAGTATAGAGTCAGGATCCTCATGTAGTTACTTTTGTCTCTTTGGAAATACAGTACATGCCGCAGGACTGCCATATTATTGATGTCCGATACCCAGCCCTGGTCTTCCTGCTGTTCCGATATGTTGTAGTAAATTAAAGAAAGGTCCTATGAAATGTTCCGTTTCCTTTGGGGCATTAACTGTAGATAGTACAACATAATCAATTTGCCTCGTCCCTTGTAAATCTCTCTTCATTGAAGCAGCGTCTCCGTCTGTCCTGAGGGTGGAGCGCCCGTCTGAAACGCTGATGGAGAACCTGCTCATGCACAGAAACCCAGCGGAACCGTCTGGCACTTCAAAGATGAAGCTCCATCCCGCATCCCGAGGGAGCTCCCAACATCCATGACGGCAGAGTGGACTTCCTGTGAAGTGCTGCAATATCCGATAGGTTTTCCCTTACTGCTTCGAGCTAGGTGAGTTAAATGCCTCCTTGGAAAATTGATGAGGAGCTCACATGAGGGCTTTTTATCACGTTGAGCTGCGGAAGAAAAGGCCCACAATGTGATGGGAAAATCCTGTTTTTCTTTTGCTAAAGGAGCCCTTGCTTCCAGTTTATGTCACCACTGCACAACTCTGGATTCTTAGGAATTAAAAACACAATGTAATGTTTTAATACATTTTAATTTCTTAAAAACAAATGAAATCACACAAGGAATAAATATTAAAATTCATATTTCTGTAAATGGCACTGGGCGTAATGCTTCATCAACTCATGGCACTGTCAGCTCATCAAGGCCTCTCTATTCAGGAACCTCACAGCGTCACTGAAGCCTTCCTCACATAGAGCCTGCATGCCTCCGCTAGGGGGGGGGAACAGAGCCTGGTTCAGACGCTTGATGTTCTCCATGGAGAACTGAGGAGACCAAAGAAAAACAGTATGTCAGATTACATGAAATCACTGACACAGTGAACAGTAACCCTAGATTCCCATTTGTAGACCAGACTGATGAAATGGTCCAGTACTCACTGCTACGTTCATGTTGGCCAGTTTGAGGTGAGTGTTGAAGCGCCCCATGTGGACAGGACACACGTCCTGCCGTCCAGCAAAGGGAGACACTGTGATGGTTCGTCCCACGGGCAGAATGGGCAGGCAGTCAGTGAAGCCACCATCAATCCATTTCTAAAAAGTAAAAAAGAGTGTAAGGATCCAGGTCACAGAATCCAAATGAAGACTAATTGCGATTTAATAATAAGATGCATCAATCCCTTTTAAGAAATGCTGGACCAATGTGTTTTTGTAAAACCTCAAAATTAATTAACTTAAGAAAAAAGAAACCATTACCTGTCCTCTCAACTCCACTGGTTTGAGTCCAGCATATACAGGCACAAAGCTGCTGGCCAGTAGAGTCTGGGAACATTACAAATGAGTTATTTAATCAGAAAACACTCTTTGACTTAAAGCCAGTTCAAACATTGATTCATCAGCAGGAAGAAGCTAACCCTAACTTACAAGAGCAATACGTTACGTAAAAGTCACATAAAATGTAACAGTTAGGCCCCTTAAAGCCTGTTAGAACAGCATGTAGACCTTCATTACACAATGACTGACTATGTTGGTGTCACTTCTGGTCAAAGTAGTAAAACAAATCTTGAAGAAAAACAGGGATGTGAAAGATTAATGGTCAGCTTTTTAAAGGATCAGCGTTATGTGTAGAGAGCAGGGGGTGTGTACCTTTATGAGCTCCTCTCTGGAGCTAAACCTGGACACGATGTGGTTCTTGCCACTTCTGGAGTGTGTTATCGAGATGAAGAGCCGCTCCGAGGCCAGAGTGTGAGCCTCACTGGGCAGAATGTGTTCTATCCCGTCCCTGCAGGGAATACACAGTCAGATGATTCATTCATAGGCTCATCCTCAGAGAAGATCCTGTCATATACAGGTGACTCAAATAATCACATAAAAGGGAAATTGCATCAACAGAAACAAATGTATTTACTGCAGTTCGAGCATGAAGTCGTATCCTGGTGTGACTGCTCCAAACCTCTGCCTCCTCACGCTCTCAGCAAACCTGTAGGTGAACTCTTTACAGTCCTGCAAGAGAAGGAAGCAAATGACATCACACCTCATTCAGTTATACTGTCACTAAAACCTGGCTGTTCATTCAGAATGTACAGGTCTAAAGCAGTTCTAGATTCAACCTGACTTGGACTGAGCAGGATCACCATACCTCTAACTTGTCAGGAGCTGTGATCATTACAGCAGCCACCAGGGCCCCGGCAGAGGCCCCTGCACAGGCCCGGAGAGAGCCCAGCAGCCGGTCCCCGTGGCGGAGAAAGGCCCCCACAGCACCCAGGTGGTAGATCCCTAAAAAGCCACAGGCAGCGAAGGACAGGTTCAGGACTGTCATCCTCATAACCTGCAGAAACATTATGCCAATTAACAACTAAATATGTATTTATTACTACATTATCTTTACAGTCACCACACAATTATGAGGTAGGTCTGAACAATGTCATCTTTTTTTTTGTATGTGTGTATACTTGCATCTTGTAAAACTGTTGAACATTGCATTTATAAGCAATATATAACTTTCTCTGCAGCTAAAGCTAAAATA